TCTCACCCACACATGGTGTGGAGCTCCAGGATTTTGGGGTTTTCTTAGTTCTGGTCAGGAGCCCAGAGGATTTGTAGAGTTTTTGGGTAGGATAAGTCCTCCAGTACTAGGCAGATTTTTTTTAATGCTATGCTGTATAAGCCTTCCTGCATTAAACTGTTTGTTTGCTGCCTTGCTGAAAAAAAGTACCTGCTCGTACTGTTTCGTGGTGTCCCTATCTTCTACATGTGCTGCCAATACCAGTTGAGCCTGCGCTCCTTACAACCAGGATGAGCAAAATAAGAGTATGTTGAAGATTTTTCACGTTTTCCTTTTTTTCATCGTATTTTTACTCATCAAAAAATTTGAGCAATATCCGAGACACCCAAGTTTATATATTTGGAAACCAAATCAATGAATGATTAAATAAAATGACTGGAAAAAAGATTATAGAAAAGATTATTGTCTTGTATTGTTTACATCACATGGATTCTGACGGTCCACACCTGTCCTTCTTCTCCAGCTGGGAGGTGGTGAGGTGGGGTCATTGACTTTGACTGGACTCTATTCAGGTCAACGTGACAAACAGATCACCTTCCAGCTGGAGTCTAAACAATGCATTGGGACCCCCTCCCCTCAAATCAGCATGTCATTTTTTTTTTTGCACAGAAAACTTTAATCATTTTATTACAGAGTTTTGAATAATTGCTTTTTTTTTTGTTAAATGCATTAATAAGCTATATTTAAATCACTAGACTAGGCTCTATTCAAGTCAACCTGACAAAGAGGCCACCTTCCGGCAGGTGACTAAACAATGCATTGGAACCCCTCTCACATCAACCTGTTGTAAAAAAAAAATTGCGCAGAAAAGTTTAAGCGTTATAACATAGAGTTTTAAATGATTGCTTATTTTCTTTATTTCACTAATTAGCTGTATTTAAATCAAAAAAACTTTTTTTTTAAAAAAAAGAAAAGACCATTTACATGAATCCCGTTAGAATTTTAGAAAACCTATTATATTATTATTTGAAACCCTTGCCTCGGTCTGCTTGCAGGAATTTTAATTTTAGCTGGTAAAATTGCTGCTTTTGCCAATGCACATGAGAGTACATGGAAGATTTTTTCATATATTTCTTTTTTTTTTTTCACAATTTGTCATCAAATTTGAGTGGTGTGCATGACACCCAGGTTTATATATTTGGAAACCAAATCACTGGATGATTAAAAAGATTATAGGAAATATTTTATAAAATATTAGAAAAAGATTGGATACATTTCTGGTAAGGATAAAAAAAAAAAAGTTTTGCTTTTAAGATTTAACATTTTATTTTAAAAAAAAAAGCAAATATTTACAATTGTAAAATTTTGGAAAAAAGTTAAATAGTATGATTTATAAGTTTAGCAAAACATTTAACTATGTATTGGTTTATAAGTCCTATCTGGTGGATATAAAAAAAATACTCATAATTAAATTTCACCTTTTGCTAAAGTAAAAGTTGAACTTAATGGGTATGTATAATCAAAGCTTTTATAAAATAGGGAAGGGTAAAAACCCATACGGGGTTTTTTTTTTGCTGCATACAGTATGTCCCACTGGGGAGATTTTCCTTCACTCCCTGTCCTAAGGGACATGTTTTATAATTTTTACATATTTTTGTATTTAGCTTTTATATTTTCATGTTACATGTGCTCATTTAGTTATGTTATATACATTATGTACATGGTTTACTGCACAACTTGATTTCCCTGGTAGGTAATATATTCCCATAGGGAATGGTGTGTATATATATATCTATAGAGCTATCTTCAGGGATTTCTGTAATATAAGACCTACCCCGAAAATAAGACCTAGTTCGGTGGTAGGTCTTATCCCTGAAGATAGCGCTAGGTCTTACTTTCAGGGTTGAAGACCGGCCGCAGCTCCCTGCCGCCCTCCCTCCCCCCGCTCTCCCGC